GAGTTTCACCTTGAATGGCCTTATTTTGTTCTTACTTGTGCTAACCACTAATTTGTAATACACTTAATGTGAAAAGGGAAAAAGAAAATGGGTTGGTAAAGAGGTTTAGCGACCACACTAGTCACACATCATAAATGATGAGAAGGTTAAGTTAACATTAGTAGTGGATTAAAATGAGTAAGTCTTGCACAACAGGTTGTTCGGAACCCTTGAATGGAGCGGTTGTATTCGGACCCTAGGTAGTTCGGTGTAAGGAGGGGTTTGGGCTAGGCCCATCATTACCATCTCTTTTGAGGCCCTCGGTTGGCGCTACGCGGTATATAACCGTTGGTAGGCATCTGAGGTAAGGTCTGCAACAAAGCAGCAAAAGAGGGGGCATACCGAATAATCCGTGTCCAATTCTTGGAGTTGGGAGGACGAAATCTCTTTGGGGGATTTCTAGACTACTAATAACTAACCATATAATCTGTGCTATAAACTTAAATGCCATGATCCTTCCTTTGTCTTTTTTGTAAATGTTGTTGTGTATTGGACTGGGAAAAAGAGATGGGGGCGTGTGTGCGTTTATTGGGCATTCAAAGCTCACAGCGTATCATGCCAGGTCCTGAAGAGGAGCTTATAGTCGGAGACGACAAGCTGGAAACCTTTGAAGACATTTGGCTATCTTAGAAAAGTTAGAAATTTCCCTTTTGATGTTTTGTAAGGCTCATATGAAAATTTAAATTTTCTTTTGAGATGTAATGTAATAGAACGAGCTTTTTGTAATTATGGATATTCGTAATTATTCTGTTATTATGTACTTATATTCTAACACCAATATAACCCTTGACGTCGCTTACGAGACCTTGTGTCAATGTCTCTTAAGATTTGTCAAAAAGGTAGTGCACTACCTAAGAAAGCTGGACTTAGAAGGGAGGCTAATGTGACTCCTCCGGCGATCTAGGATCTTACTTGGTTATTGACCATAGGACTCATTAGTGACTTCCCTTGACAACAACGAATAGTGTAGATTTGGGGTGTCACATTTTGGTATGTTTTCCTGGGTTCAACCCTTAGCCCGCGCAACCCAATACGCGACTCTAGAAACCCTTACCCATTTACATTATTGTATTTTAATATCACTATTACATTCAAAAGAGACTAATAATTAAAATCCTTTCCCTCTACCCTAGGATGTCGTCAGAAAGCCGCCAGACAACCAACATCAGTCTCGACACGTGGGGAGTATTCTGCATGCAAGGCAAGAGGGCCTGTCCCTTAATACCTACTTCAGCCGTCGATGGTGTGAATTCGCCGCTGAGAAGATGATCATCGAGGAGAAACGAAAGGTGGAAACAAATTACTCTTATTACACGAGGGAACAAAAGAGCTCATTGGTTTGACGACCCCTACAATACCTAAGTCACGTAGCAAGGAGTGCGATCCGAAAGGAGTAGGATGACCAAAAAATGGACTCTCTGATGCACCGAGCCTTAGCAGGAGAAGCATTTCACCAATTTCCAGTGGAAAGTGGCGAGTCTCACTATCCTGGGCAGAACGACAATCAACCAATGGAGGTAGAGCATCCACCAGTACAACCAGGAATAACTCCAACCTTCCCAATTGAGGTGTCATCTGAACACGTCCCCCCCTTCGCCGACATACACGCCCCACTCCCCTGGCTAGGAAACCGACTCAGTTGATGAGGACCCTGAAGAAGACTTTGATTGGTCGGGAAATGAGGGTTAATCTAGGGATAGTAGGCTAGACTTTTTGTCTAGGGATAGTAGGCTAGACTTTTTGTAAGATCCACTCATATGGGTCTTTAAAATGTATGTAGTAACTTTGTGACCTTGGTGTGTGTAATGCTTTTGAATGAAACTATGATGGAAACCTTTTGTACTGATGCCTAATATAATGAAATGATGACTTGTTCTATATCTATTGACTGTTACTTATTTTAATATTGATCACACCCTAAGAAAACTATACCTTAATTTAAAATATCGTAGAAAGATTACCTTTAGCTAAAAATTTAGAAGCCAATTAACCCCGTACCATGAACAGAATGGTGGATACGCGAGCTAACGACTATCTAGAAACCAACAACAATGCTCGAAATCGTCCCAGAAATCAGCATGGGCTCATACCCGTGGGAGCCAGTATCCCTAATAATCTTGGGCATCAAATTCTGGAGGAATTGGGGCAACTAAGGAACAATCGGCAAAACGAGAGGACTCGACTCTTTTTAGAGTTCAGGAAACAAAGGCCTCCGAAGTTCACAAGAGTACCAGACCCGAGGGTGGCTGAGAATTGGCTTCAACAGATAGAGAAGATGTTAGACACTATGGGAATAACCGAAGATGCCGATAGAATAGCCTTAGCCGTATTCAAGCTTGATGATGAGACTGATCATTGGGGGGAACTAATCAAGAATACGTGTGACGTTTCCAACATGTCGTGGAACCAGTTGAAGGAATTTTTCTTGAATAAATACTTTCCAAGTACAGTTCGCCAAGAGCAAGTCAGGGAATTCCAAAACCTAGAGCAAGGGAATATAACCGTAACCCAATATGCTGCAAAATTTGAAGAGTTAGCCCATTACGCAACTACATATGTAGAAAATGATGAAGAGAAAGCAAGGATGTTCAAGTGGGGCCTGGACCTTACAATCAGGGGAAGAGTTCTCCCGCAACAACTGCACTCATATGCCGAGGTGTTGGAGACGACATTAGAATCTGAAAGGGAAGTAGCCGACGCTAGGAAGGCTTGGAACAAGTGGAAAGGGGGTCAAACATCTGTTGGACCTTAGAGGAACCAGAAAGGAAATATGGCATCAAAGCCCTACTCCAGACCACAACAACAACAACAATGGCAACAATCACAACAACAGATCCAGGGAGGAGGCTATCAACTAAGGCCGACATGACAACTTCAGTGCTTTCATTGCCAACAATTGGGGCACAAAAAGAGTGAATGCCTCCAACTCCCTCCATCCGGATACCGGGGAGGAGGTTCCGGAGCAAATGCCCAGGCATTAGGTGGACAGAAGCCTTGGACAAATAAGAAAGGACCTACCGGGTAGCAGCACCAGAAGAGTGGAGGAACTCAGAACCCCAGGACCAGTGGCAACTAGAAGGCAACCAACAGAGTCTTTGCCTTGCAAGAGGAAGAAGTGGACCTATCTATAATTGAGGGTTAATTAGTGCTATATAATTCTTCAGTGCATGCTTTATTTGATACTGGTGCATCGCATTCTTTTATATCCTTTGCTTGTGCTAAGTCATTAGAACTTGTATGTAAACCCTTAAAAACTACCTTAAATGTAATCTAACCCATGGGAGGATGCGTTCGGATAGGATTGATCTATAAGGATTGTAAAATAGGAGTGTCGAACCTACACTTAACTTGTGACCTTTGTGTCATGGAAATGTCAGACTTCGATATCATTTTGGGCATGGACTGGTTGTCTGCCCACCGAGCGGTGATCGACTGCCGTCAAAGGAAAGTAGTAGCTCACATGCCTGACGGAACGTGTTTCCAGTTTAAGGGGGATAGACAAGACTCCATGACTTCAACAAAATGTAGGACGCAGTGGCACGATCAACTTGCGAGTAGGATAACAAGTTTGATTTTAAATGAGGAGGGCCAAGAAGAATTAGAACTTCCGCACATAGTATGTGAATATGCAGATGTATTTCCTACGAAATTACCGGGATTGCCACGAACCCAAGAGGTAGACTTTAGTATTGAGCTACAATCTGGAACTACCCCAATATCCATGGCCCCATATCGCATGGCACTAGCAGAACTATGAGAATTAAAGACACAACTACAGGAGTTACTCAAGAAAAGATGCATTTGACCAAGTACTTCACCATGGGGAGCACCTGCGCTGTTTGCTAAAAAGAAAGATGGTTTGTTAAGGCAATGCATCGATTACCGTCAACTCAATCAAGTTATGATCAAGAACCGATACCCACTCCCAAGGATTGATGATCTTTTTGATCAACTTAGAGGCTCAAGGTGCTATTCAAAGATCGATCTCAGATCAGGTTACCATCAACTACGAGTCAAGGAGGAGGATATTCCAAAAACTGCCTTTCGAACCAGATATGGTCACTATGAGTTTGTAGTAATGCCCTTCAGACTAACCAATGCACAGGCATTATTCATGAGTCTAATGAGCAAGATTTTCCCACCATATCTTGACCAGCTTGTAGTAGTGTTCATTGATGGCATCTTGGTATATTCAAGGTCTGATGAAGAGCATGAGCAACATTTAAGGATTGTCCTTCAAGTTCTTAGGGACAATCGGTTATATGCTAAGGCATGCAAATGTGAGTTTTGGTTGAATGAAGTGAAATTCATAGGGCATATAGTGTCCGAGAATGGGATTGTGGTGGACCCAACCAAGGTGGAATCAGTCTTAGATTGGAGAGAACCAAAAATCATGTCAAAAATCTGCAGTTTCTTATGACTGGTTGGTTACTACTGAAGGTTCATCTGCGATTCCTCCAAACTAGCTTGACCAATGACTTGTTTGACGCCAAAAAAGAGTAAAGTATGAGTGGGATGAAGCTTGCGAAAAATCCTTCCAAAAGCTAAAGAAGAGATTAACTAGTGCGCCAATTTTGACCATCCTGGAACGAGAAGTGGGGTACACTATGTATTGCGATGCGTCTAAGGAAGGGTTAGGCTTCATGCTCATGCAAAATGGAAAGGTAGTCACGTATGGATCCAGGCAGTTGAAACCACATGAGCATAACTACCCAACACATGACTTGGAATTAGTGGCCGTAGTTTTTTCCCTAAAGCAATGGCGACATTACCTGTATGGGGAACAATTTAAGATTTTCACAGATCACAACAGTTTGAAGTATCTATTTGCACAGAAGGACCTTAACTTAAGACAGAGACGATGGATGGAGTATCTTGAGGATTTCCAGTTCACCCTCTCATATCATCCCGGTAAAGCCAATGTAGTAGCAGAAGCTCTAAGTCACAAGAGCAGAGGGATGATGGCTAAAATTTCTGTCAAAGAATGGGATATGGTTAAGACACTCAATGAATTTAGAATCCAAGTAGAATCTCAAGATACAAAGGTATACCTTGGTGCACAGAAGGTGATGCCTAAGTTGATAAGTGAGATCATGGAGGCCCAGAAGCACGATCAAGAAGTAGCCTATATCAAGGGACGTCTGGAATTAGGAGAACCAATGCTCGATTGGGTAATTCACCTCAATGGGAGTTTAAGATATCAAGGTAGATTGTTTGTACCAAGTAACGAGTTTCTTAGAGAAAAGGTACTAAAGGAATGTCATCACTCTGTATTTGTGGTACATCTAGGAGGGACTAAAATGTACCAAGATTTGAAGAGGCAGTTTTGGTGGAGCGGAATGAAGAAGGATGTGGCTAAATTTGTAGCAAAATGTCTAACATGTCAACAAGTGAAGACGGAACATCAGAAACTAGGAGGAATGTTGCAACCCTTACCAATAGCCGAATGGAAATGGGAGTACGTGACAATGGACTTTGTGACAGGGCCGCCCAAGACACCCAGAGGGCGCGATGCTATATGGGTAATAGTGGATCGCCTCACTAAGTCAACACATTTCTTAACCTAAAAGATAATCGACACTTTAAAGTCCATGTGCAGGCTCTACATTGGGGAAATCATTTGACTACATGGAATTCTGATATCTATTGTGTCAGATCGTGATCCACGATTCACCTCCCGATTTTGGGGAAGTCTACAAGAAGCTCTGGGTACTGAGTTATGTTTTAGCACCGTTTTTCACCCACAAATGGATGGACAATCTGAACGTACCATCCAGACACTCAAAGATATGCTGAGAGCTTGTGCAATGGATTTTCAAGGAAGTTGGGAACGACACCTACCTTTAATTGAATTCGCCTATAACAATAGCTTTCAAGCTAGCATTGGTATGGCGCCTTTTGAAACATTATATGGGCAACCTTGTAGATCTCCAATTTGTTGGACGAAAATAGGTGAAGTGAATCTAATAGGACCCGAACTTGTCATAGAGACCACTAAAAAGGTCAAATTGATCCGACAACGGTTAAAGACTGCTCAAGACTATCAAAAATTATGCAGATAGGAGGAGAAGGCCATTGATGTTTGAAGTAGGTGACCACGTGTTCCTAAAGGTGCAACCTAGGCATGGAATCATAGGTTTTGGAAGAAGGGGGAAACTATCACCACGATATATCCGACCTTTTGAAATACTGGAGAAGGTGGGCAAAGTGGCATATCGACTAGCACTACCCCCACAGTTAGCCGGGATACACAACGTCTTTCATGTATCTATGCTGCGAAAGTACGTTGCCGATCCATCACATGTCATCAACTGGGAAGAAATCAGTCTCGACAAGGATGTTACCTTTGAAGAAGGACCTGTAGCAATACAAGATAGTCGAGAGAAGAATCTTAGGGGCAAGACAATTCATCTAGTAAAGGTACTTTGGCAACATCGTGGGATTGAAGAATCAACCTGGGAACGTGAAGACGCGATGCGGACAAACTATCCCCAACTTTTTGAGCGTAGCGAGTGATTGTAATTTCAAGGAAGAAGTTAGTTTAAGGGGGATAGGTTGTAAGGCCCTAACTTTTTGTAATGTCCCCAAATGCTTATAGTTGAAGAATTTCAATAAGAAATCTTGTTTCTCCATTTCTTGTAAATTAAACCCTAGAAATCAGGAGCAACTGTGCGAGCTAATCAGCAAACCTTAATCAGCTCTGAGAACTTAAGAAACATTTTAAAACCCTAAATTAATAATTTAGAAACCCTAGAATGAAAAATTATAAGAGAAAAACCCTAGTTTTCAGTAATCGCAGTTTCAACCCGGTATCTCGCCTTTGTCGCGAATCGACACCACGTGGCCCGAATTATTTTTCCTATCATTATTTTATTAATTATATAACTTAAAAATTTGTTTTATTTCAAAATTTCTGATTGTACCCTTTTCTTTTTTAATTATTGCATTTTGGCCTGAAAACATTAATATTTTATTCAATAAAGGTACAACCAATGTTTTATTAATTTATACAAAATATCCTATATATTTTATTAACATAAATATCAAATTTTCACATAGGTAAATAGGGTAGTTGGCTATAGGTGGTGAAAAGGACCTAGAAGTGTATTTTTTATTCATAGCAAATCTTGTACATAAATACAACAAATCTTTGACCATCATGGAGGAATGGGGGGCATTTATTGCTATATTTTTTTTTGTCTCCTAATAAATTAGTAAATAGGATTACCTTCTCTTAATCAAGATTAATTAACACAAATCTTAATTGGATCCAATTACAAACCAACCAAACTTGAATAGTTTCTATTGAAAACGAACCAAACCAAACCAACCCTTCTCTCTCCTCCTTGGCCTATAAATACAAGCCTTGCTAGCTATTGTATTTCAGTCCATACACACACAACACACGGCTGAGAGTGGAGGAAAGGGAGAGCAAGTGAGCTTGAGAGAAAAAGAGGAGAAAAGAGAGCAACAAGTAGGAAAAAGATCTAGCAAACCATGGTAAATCTCATACACATCTCCTCTCAATGAATCATCATGTTTTTCCCCATCATAATACATGCTAAAAATATATTTCACATGATATTAAAATTTACTACATTATTAGATGATGTATGGTTTGAAAATGAAATGTCCCTCTTCTTCCTTGCAATTTCCAACAAGCTTTTGTCAAGGTTTTTGATTCTATTTCCACAGCAAACCTTCACCAACTCAAAATCTGTTTTGAAGAGGTATTAATTGACATATATAGAGTATGTGAAAATTTTGGCTAAGACCCTGGATGTGTTTTTATGACCCCTTTTATTTTTCTAAATACCTACTGCAAAGAACTTGTTAAAATTGAGGACTTTGGAAAATTCTAGAAAATTATATAAAAATGGTATCATGTTCATTTTTACATAAAAATCTTCCTCTGAAGGTTAGCTTTCAAACAAAATTTATTTCAATGAAAATGAATGAGTAGTTTAAGAGAAACAAGAAATTTTGTAACAGTTGTCAAATCTGGATAGAGTCTGTGTATTTCTTAAATATCTAAAAATCAAAAAGGGCCACCCTACTTCCGTAAAATGGTTCTGAAACTAGGCTTGATTCTATACAAATCCTCTAGAAGCCACATTTATGAAACCCTTAAAAAATATTTTTTCTATATTTATTTTTGAACTGGTGCAGTGCTGGAAATTTGAACAATGCGGTTCTTATTGTAGTTAATGCTTTTGTGCTATCATGACATATTGTTGTAATATATGTTATACTTTCATGCTTGAGTTTCACCTTGAATGGACTTATTTTGTTCTTACTTATGTTAACGACTAATGTGTAATACACTTATTGTGAAAAGGGGAAAAATAAATGGGTTGGTAAAGAGGTTTAATGATCACACCAGTCATGCATCATAAATGATGAGAATGTTAACTTGATATTAGTAGTGGATTAAAATGAGTAAGTCTTGCGCAACTGGTTGTTCAAAACCCTTGAATGGAGCAGTTGTATTCGGACCCTAGGTAGTTCGGTATAAGCAGGGGTTTGGGCTAGGCCCATCATTACCGTCTCTTTTAAGGCCCTCGGTTGGCGCTACGCAGTATATAACCATTGGTAGGAATCTGAGGTAAGGTCTGCAACAAAGCAGCCAAAGAGGGGGCACACCGAATAATCCGTGTCCAATTCTTGCAGTTGGGAGGATGAAATCTCTTTGGGGGATTTCTAGACTACTAACAGCTAACCATATAATCTGTGCTATGAACTTAAATGCCATGATCCTTTCCTTTATCTTTTTTGTAAATGTTGTGTATTGGACTGCAAAAAAGAGATGGGGTGTGTGTGCATTTACTAGGCATTCAAAGCTCACGGTGTATCATGCCAGGTGCTGAAGAGGAGCTTATAGCAGAAGACGATGAGCCGGAAACCTTTGAAGACATTTGGCTATCTTAGAAAAGTAAGAAATTTCCCTTTTGATGTTTTCTAAGGTTCATATGAAAATTTAAATTTTCTTTTGGGATGTATTGTAATGGAATGAGCTTTTGTAATTAAGGATATTTGTAATTATTCTGTTATTATGTACTTATATTCTAACACCAATATAACCCCTGATGTCGCTTACGAGACCTTGTGTCAATGTCTCTTAAGATTTGTCAAAAAGGTAGTGCGCTACCTAAGAAAGCTGGACTTAGAAGGGAGGCTAATGTGACTCCTCCGGCGATCTAGGATCTTACTTGGTTATTGACCATATGAGTCATTAGTGACTTTCCCTTGACTAGAACCAATAGTGTAGATTTGGGGCATCACATATCTATTTTTCTCAGTTTCTATTCTTTTGCAGATTTCCTGGATGTACGGTGACGAGCTCCTTCGGACCATCGACCGACTACTTTAGTCACCCACGGGATTGAGGTACATTCTGTGTGTAGCCTACTGTCATTTCCATACTATACACTTCTGATCACTCTATCTGATATCTGATATCTTTTTCAGCTTGAGCCGGCACCTATAGTGCCTATCAGACCTTCTGTAGCTAGTAGGCGGAGACGGGGCCCAATGAGAGGCCGATGAGGTGCTGATCGGGGGAGAGGTGGAGTGAGGCAGCACTTACCTTATGAGGAGTCTTTTAACGGGTCCACGACCCCTGAGGATGAGGGAGAGGAGATTGACCTACAGTCGAGTAACCCCAGTGATGACAGCGATGCACCACCTCTACAACCGAGGAGGAAGAGAGCGAGAATGGGCAACTGATGGCAATGATGATTTTGCTTTACTTTTCTTTTGTTTTCATTTTGTTATGTAGTTATAAAACTAGCTTTGGATAGACCTTTTGTTTTTCAAAAACTTTTTTTTTTTTGGTTGTGTAAAATGATGATCAGGGTTGGGCCTGCCAGTTATGAAAGGTAGGTTTTGTTGAACGATTTCTTTGCATAATATGATGAACTGCATTACCCTTGCATTTGTAACCTTCGGAACTATGAATGCTTTGCTCTTGAATTGATTCATGAACCGGATAATGACTTACAATTAGCCAAAACATAAAATACAACGCGATAATGGAAAAACGAAATGAAAACTACTCAAAAAACCTAACAAACACTTGGTACAAACAAAACAAAACTCAAAAGTAAAATTGAAGTCCATTCGAACAAAGTTTAGGTTTCGCTGCAACAGAGCTGCAGTGGGCCAGCATCAAGACCCGGCCGAGTTTCATTGATGCACGGTCTGCTATCACTGATCCACGGCCGGCCATCAGTGTGATGTTGGTCAGTGCTATCCAGGTGTCATGTTCAGCTCCTTCTCAGACTTTTTAAACAATGCTTCCATGCTGCTTTCCTGGCAAACTCACAAGTCCTTGATATTTTGCTCTCAAAATGGAGATATTATTTGGCAACAAGCTTCAGGACTGGGTAACCACCTTGGATGGCTCAGAAAAGGTGAATTTCCGTGGCTTCGGCCTAAATGCCATTTTCCTTTGAGCCGCACTTCTCTTTGCCTTCTATTCCTAAATGCCTCAGTTAGATGTTAGAACCCAATCACACATGTCTTTAGCTTCCGGGGACAAGAAATATGCCTGATAATTGAAGAATTTTAGGTATTAATGGAATCCTGGTGCGATGAGGAAATCATTCCTTAACCCCGCTTTGGCTACGTCCAAGCTTTGGGACGGATGTGCGGGCTTACTCTACACGAGGTTCAATCTTTGGTACACAATGGAGAGCTGGATATTCCCAGTCTGATTCATTGATTTTTTGATGTTGGTGACTGAAGCGACCTTCTTTGGCAAGGTTTTAGGCAACACATCCTTTGCTTGTATATGTTGGCTCATTTCTTTTTTGCCCCCAATTTTGGTGGACCTAGCATTCTGCTAACTGAAGTAGTCCAAGGTTTGAAAGAAGGCAAGAGTTGTATTGGCATGGTGCTGGTCGAGACTTTGATGGGCTTAGATGCCTTCCATCGGCGAGAGACTACCAAATTCGTAGGGAGTCAACTACTCCTTTAGGTAATGTTTCCCACCCTTTCTAATATGTGTTTGTCACATCTCTCGGCATTTATGCTATGTTTTTCTCTCAAAGTCCTTCTCTCACTTTTTCTCTCAACGTATATCTCTCTATTCTTTAATCTCTCATTTCTTTCATCCCGTCCAAGGTGCGGCTTATGGATAAGCTGAAAGTTGTGGATTCTTGCCCTGAGTACTCAGCTCGAGGATACTTCTTCCGCCAATAGCTAGTGGATTTCCCAAACGAGGGATGGTGGTGCCACTGGATGTGCAATAGGTCTGCTGCTGACATTGCTTGGCATTGCCCCTGGCTTAATCTGATCGAAATAAGCTATAGCATGACTTGGCAACTTGGCATTCAGTTGATCGGCCTTACACAGTGTGTATTCTACTTTCCTTTCAGGTTTAGACATCAGTTTGGACATAACCAGACCTGCCCAGAAGAGGGGGTAGAGTCCTTGATTTCGTTCCCCGTTCGAGGTTCACATTTGGTTAGGCACCTCACTGCTTGGCGGATTAGTGAGCTTTTGGCCCTTGCCCC